CTGTTTGATTGTAGAAGGTCATTATGTAGTCCATACCCTGTTTGATTGTAGAAGGTCATTATGTAGTCCATACCCTGTTTGATTGTAGAAGGTCATTATGTAGTCCATACCCTGTTTGATTGTAGAAGGTAACTATATTGTGCATACCCTGTGTAAATATAATCAATTAACCCTTTCCTTAATTGTCACCTGTTTATTTGTCAGGGTTGGCACAGTGTGGCAGATCCTATTCTGTTGAAACCTTCACAAGAAGTAGGGGTAAGTTCATGTTTTACATCAACCACCAAATGTGTAACGTAGCTGATGCCTTGTTGCTACGTCTGTCTGCCACCATGTTTCCTTTCAACAACTTCTGAAAAGTAAGGAGGTCTTGGTAATAATATTTAGCCAGTAGCATGCTGTTATGAAAGCCTATCAGATTTATTCAAATAATGGTTGTTGATCTACTTTCATGGACGCAGGGGTCAAATATTTAAAATCTTTGAAACAACTTCTTCAATAGGTCCTTTATTCACATAAACTTGATTGTCTTAAAAGCCCCTTGGAAAAATGAGATAAAAAGTTCCAACAAAGATCCATAAGCGTAGAGCAGTAATACTAGCTTGTAGTGTTTAAGCACTTGCTATCAATTTGTATGCAGGTTAAACGTTCATATAGCACAACCAGTAAAATGTTTGTGTGACATTTCAATGACTAGAATGATGTGTACTTTGTCACCTTCGTTGGACAACTGACATATAAAGCGTATGTACAGTAAGGTGTAAAATATGAATGAGATGACAATAAAGTTGATTAGGCTGTGATGAAGGAATATGTAATATGTACACTTGAGTGTTATTAATGTATGAAATGGCTATCACATCAGCAGGTATTATATGTTATATTATATGTGTGAGAGTCTATCCTCCCACTAAGCCTACCATATATTCTATTTCGATACATTAACAAACATACACACCATATTGAAGGGTCTATATTTAGCCCTTTTGAAGTGTCTATATTTAGCTTTCTAATCCAAGGTGTGGCAGGTAGATCCAACCAAGTTTGAAGCTGGCGAGACTTTGGATATGAAGGACTGTGCCGACTACCTGGCTCGCGTTACCTTGGTGATGGAACATAACCCTGACTTTGTTCTCAGGCTTCACAACGATGCTGAGGGTCAAAAGTTCATAGCACAAATCGAGGAGGTAAGTGTGACCCATAACCCCAGTGAAGGTCAACAGTTCATAACACAAATTGGGGTGGTAAGAGTGACCTTTAACCTTAGTGAAGGTCAACAGTTCATAACACAGATCAAGGAGGTGAGGGTGACCTATGATCCAAGTGAAGGTCAACAGTTCATAACACAGATCAAGGAGGAGAGTGTGACCTTGGCCCCAGTGAAAATTAACAGTGCATAGCACAAGTCAAGGAAGAGAGTGTGAACTATAACCCCAGTGAATGTCGACAGTTCATAACACAGATAAAGGAGGTGAGTGTGACCTACAATGTATTACCCCAGTGAAGGTCAACAGTTCATAACACAGATCAAGGAGATGAGTGTGACCTATGACCCCAGTACAGGTCAACATTTTGTAGCACAAATCAAGGATGTGAGTGTGACCTATGACCCCAGTGAGGGTCAACAGTTCATCAGACACAAAAGAGTAGGTATATGTGACCTATGACTGTAATGGAGGTTAACCGTTCATATCACAGGGGAAGTAACTGTGACCTTTGAATACAATGGAGCTCAAAAGTCTGTTACGTAGAAGTGGCAAGTATGACCTCTGCATCCACTGGAGGTCAACAGTTTGTTACATAAGGAGATGTAACCTCTGAATCTTGCTGATGTAGACAAACAGAGACATGAACTTTGACACTAGTGGTGTCGTGGTCAACAATTAATGACATCAGTTGTGGCCAATATTTAATTTACTGTTGGTCTGGTAAAACATGTTTTCCCATTAAACTCCTGACAATTTAATTTTTCAGTTGGCTTTAACCAACAACACAGATTTCATGACATCCTATCACATCCTGAGGAAAAGGGTTTTTGAGCTGGATACCGAGAAAGGCAAGGGGCAGTTGAAGAGGTTGGTGTTTCAGAGATATAATGAATATGTCTTATTATTTCAGAACTAATTACATTTCAAATGTGCTATTTTGTTTGTTCAACTCCAGTTAATTCCTTGTAATGATGTCATTTCACTGGATTTTATTTCTGATATTTTTACCTGGAGCTGCTCCAAAATAAATATGCAATGTCTATAATGATTTTAAACCTGGTAAAGGTGTCTGATATAAGTTGCCCAAAACCCAGAGAGTCAACCTGAAACCTACCACCAAACCAGGGTTCAAATGTTGTCAATTGCTTTAACCTGAGACCTGACTAGGGGCAGACATGAATTTGTTAATTATTACCCCACTTTGTTGAGGAAGGTATATAGTAAACACTTTGTTAGTGCAGCTGTCTGTACTTGCATCTAATCTGTCCATCCGTTTGAAATAAAAAATAAAAAACCACTTGTGTACAAGATATCTCATACATGTATATCCTTTACCATGATATGTTTAATACCATATTATGATAATTTCAAGTTGATGGCTTTTCTGTCTCACAATTATGTTCCATAAAAAAGGTTACATGCTTTGTGTTATCGGTGCTGTCTGCACTTTGAATATTTTTTACATTTTGATGTATGTGTCTTACAGGTGTCGTCTGCCCAGTGGTAAAATGGTTTGGCTTTGTAAGGAACACTGCAGCAAACTCAAGGTCATGGTTCTGAGTGATGAGACAGCAGAGGTCAAAGTCAAGGTCGCCAACCAACCCTGGTTAGACGAAATGGTGGATTACTTGAGAGTTGAACAGAAAAAACCATTTGAATTTAAAGAGAATAAAAAAAGTAAAAGGCTTCCAAAAGGTAAGATAATTTATTCTGAAGCATATTTCTGAAACTTAAAACAGTTTGTCTATTTTCTCTCAAATGGTAAAATAAACTGTGAAATATAATACATAAGACTGAAATTTGTACCATTTAGGCCGCTTTATTAACAAAGATTTTTTCAAAATGTTCCATGGTTCTTCTAGTTAGTTCTGCATTTCAGGATAATTTTTCAAGTTCTTAAAGGCAATATAATTCATCAAAATTAATTCTGAAACATTGAAAATTTTGTCAAAACTAGTTCAAATAAATGTAAAATATGTCTATTCTGATGTCCATTGGAAAAAAACCATTTTGTGATCCATGTTCTATATTTGAAGTTTGTAATGTAAAACTTGATTCTGAATTTGAGGTAAATTTTGGTATTTCTGTTTTATATAGGCAAAACTAAGAAGGTACAGGACATGGAGAAAGACTTGAGACGTTCTATGTCTCGAAGTGCTTCCACCATGGGGAAAGAAAAACTTGCCATGGCCCTGGCTATAGTGAAAGCTGAAGAACTGGCAAAGACTGAGAAAAAACCTTCAGCCTCCAGCAACGCCTCTCAACCATTGGCAGTAGCCCTCAAAACAGAAGAGGCATCCATAACAATAGAACCCAAAAAGGCTCTGCAGAATACTAGCGATAAAAAAACTACAGAAGACAAAAAGGAATCAAAAACTGATGTTGATAAGACGATGGCAGATGTCAACAATCAATGGATAACAGATGCCAAGGACAGTGAACAGAATGGTCAGAGGAGAGCAGCTGCTCCTCCAAAAACCCAGACACAAAAACCAGACGTAAAGCAGAGCAGTACGTGTATACTGTCTTAGTTACCTAGTAGGTAGTTAGGTACTGTCTTAATTTTCCTATTAGGTAGTTAGGTACTGTCATAGTTACCTAGTAGGTAGTTAGGTACTGTCATAGTTACATAGTAGGTAGTTAGGTAGTGTCTTAGTTACCTAGTAGGTAATTAGGAAGAATCTGGCACACATTGCTATCATGAGATAGGAAGAGGCTGATTTAATCCTCAATATCCTCAACACTTTATTCCACATAAAATACGAACCGTCTATAATTTATCTGCGATACTTTTACTCGTAATGATCCTTTTTATGTATTAACCTGTAATTTACCTGTGCTATTTTACCTGTAATTTACCTGTGCTATTTTACCAGTAATTTACCTCTTACTTGTCTTTTTACTATCGCTATAGATTCATAAAATTATAGATCACTAGAGGTGTATATAAATCATTATTTATTTATTGTGCAAGCATAACATCAGGCTCATGTGACAAGTATTTGCGATAATTTTACCGTTGTTATCCCTCATATATAGATTAATATTAGATATCTGACAATAAAAGAGGTCAATCTATACAGAGTTATGAGGGACTAGATATGTACAATCAAAGTTGTGTTCTGTCTTAAATACCTTTGCATGTCTTTTCTCTATACATTCTGTATATACTCATTCAATTGTGAAATAAAATTGATAGTTTTGCTTTATTCTCTAAAATGGTCTAGGTGCCATTATGTATGTGTCCATAGCATACTAGATCTGTTAAAAACTCCAATATGCCTTTATTTCGTTTCCAAAATTTCCAAAAATCAGCAATGTTCATTAACATTTACAATGTCATTGGTTCAGCAGTGTTCCTTAACATTTACAATGTCAGTGGTTCAGCTGTGTTCCTTAAGGTTCCTTAACATTTACAATGTCATTGGTTCAGCAATGTTCCTTAACATTTACAATGTCAGTGGTTCAACAGTGTTCCTTAACATTACAATGTCAGTGGTTCAGCAATGTTCCTTAACATTGACAATGTCAGTGGTTCAGATGTCTGCCTTAATGTTCCTTAACATGTACAATGTCATTGGTTCAACAGTTTTCCTTAACATTTACATTGTCAGTGGTTCAGCTGTGTTCCTTAAGGTTCCTTACCATTTACAATGTCATTGGTTCAGCAGTGTTCCTTGACATTTACAATGTCATTGGTTCGGCAGTGTTCCTTTACATTTACAATGTCAGTGGTTCAGCAATGTTCCTTAACATTTACATTGTCAGTGGTCCAGCAGTGTTCCTTAACATTCACAATGTAAGTGGTTTAGCAATGTTTCTTAACATTTACAATTTCAGTGGTTCAGCAATGTTCCTTAACATTTACAATGTCAGTGGTTCAGCAGTGTTCCTTAACATTNTCAGTGGTTCAGCAATGTTCCTTAACATTTACAATGTCAGTGGTTCAGCAGTGTTCCTTAACATTTACAATGTCAGTGGTTCAGCAATGTTCCTTAACATTTACAATGTCAGTGGTTCAGCAATGTTCCTTAACATTTACAATGTCTGTGGTTCAGCAGTGTTCCTTAACATTTACAATGTCTGTGGTTCAGCAATGTTCCTTAACATTTACAATGTCAGTGGTTCAGCTGTGTTCCTTAACATTTACAATGTCAGTGGTTCAGCAGTGTTCCTTAACATTTACAATGTCAGTGGTTCATCTGCTGCCAGCTGGAGAAATGTTGTCGGAGGGTGGTTATGTTGATGTAAAAATGAAACAGGATATTATCCAGAGCAGTACTTGTTGCTGGACACTGTTGTAAAACACATCTCCTAGTTGTCTTGTCATTAATGAAAACTTGCAGCCACCATAAAGTTTGTAATAAACCTATTTTACCATTTTCAAAACTCAAAAAAGCCAGCCTGCAGTTGTACATTGACCAAGATAAAATGATGTTATTTTTCCAATTCATGATAAAAAAAACTAAGGCCCTGACTGACTTCTTTGATATGGATTAGTATGTCTGAAAGAAGCTGTAACTGAGGTTCACCTAGTTGTGAAAATGAATGTTGGCCAGGTGACACTGATCAACAGGAATATTTGTCTTATGTTGGCCAGGTGACACTGATCGACAGGAATATTTGTCTTATGTTGACTAAGTAAGGATCAACTTCACCAGAGATTTGCCTTCCTTTTTGACCGGTGGTTTACTTTTTATATTTTAAAATTTTGCTGAATAGATTATTTACCATTTATTTTTATCTGGTATCAGGGATTTACCTTTTGTATTCTTACTGTGATAAGCTCAGTGGACTTATATTTTTTATCAATTTTAGCTTATTTTATATAATTGTTGACGTTTGGACATACAGTTTAATATATAGGATGTTGTACTGTCCGTCCAGTAACTTTGGTTGGATACTCTCGTTTTTATCAGAATCATGTCAGCTTGGTATGCTCCACCATTGTGTTGTGTAGATGCCAATTGTTTGTAATGGGCCATTATGGTTATAAATATTTATGAACTTAATCATTCCCTTGCATTGCTGTAACAAGGTTTGGTATGTACAGTTGTCATGTTGTATGTGTACTTATATACTTATAGGTAGCATGTTTTAACACTTGATATGTGATATTATTTTGACAAATATTGAATTTTTAAGTTTCATATATGCGATCCATATTCGCTGTATTAGAAATGACAAACAGTTTTGTACGTCTTTTTGATCAGTATTTGTTGTACAAACAGCAACGGAAAGATCAGACATTAAGTTGTAGTTACTACAATGCACTATTATCAGGTTTGTACTTGCTATTTAAGAAATTAGAACACTAAACAGCAGTTTATTTCAGATGATTTTTCAGTAATATTAATTCTTAGATTCACTTTAATAATTATATTTGTTGTAGTTTTTTCAGCAATTGAAAAAATATGGAGACATGAAACGTACATAGAAAATGAAAGTTTAATGCAGGAAATGAAGAACTCATGCCCATCCATCCATCCAAATCTTTTGTTTCCAGAGTCTAATCCTTTTGTTGGCAGGATTGCAATGCAACCAGGGCTTATGAATTGGCAATTCCCATCCGTCCGTCCATCTGTCTGCACTAAGGTGAAGAAGAATGGTTAAGCTCAGATTCCAATTATTTCATATCAACTAAACTGGCATGGCTTATATATGTAAGGTTGCTTATCACATGCGATGCTTCGGATGCTGTTTCTGACCTATAATTTACGCTTGACTGACCAGGTTAAGAAGATTGGTAGAGGTCAGGCCCAATCTGCACTATGATTAAGAAGATAGGTTCTCACAAGTAACTACTTGTTGTTCATCAACTAAACTTGCATGGCTTATATATCTAAGTATGCTTATCACATGCAATGCTTGGTTGCTGGTTCTGACCTACATTTTCCGCTTCATTGACCAGGTTAAGAAGTTTCTGACCTACATTTTCTGCTTCAGTGACCAGGTTAAAAAGTTTCTGACCTACATTTTTTTCTGCTTCAGTGACCAGGTTAAGAAGTTTCTGACCTACATTTTCTGCTTCAGTGACAGGTTAAGAAGTTTCATTGAGATCAGGCCCCATCTGCATTATGGTTAAGAAGATTGGTAATTAAGGTCAATTGGTTTAGGTCAATTACCTAGTAACTATTTGTCCTACATCAACTAAACTTGCATGGCTTTTGTATCTTAAGGATGCTTATCACATGTGATGCTTCACATGAAAATGTACTGAAGCAATCCAGCCATATCGCCATTGGCAGTTTCTTGTTGAAATTTGACATGGTGATACACTGTAACATGTAGATGTGCAATAGAGGCATAAAAAGTGTCTAACATCAAGGTGACTGTTACTTAAAATAGACCATAGGGGTATGGCCAGGCACATGGCAGGGCCCTTGCTGACATATCAGTGTTTCAGTGTCTCAAAAAATTAGTTTGTTTTTTAGGTGTAGTTCTAATAACAATATAATGTATACATGTATTGTGTTATATTTATGTACCAGGTGTAAAGTTTTGATTATGATACACATTGTATTGGGATATATGTATGCACTTGATGTAAAGTTTTGATTATGATATACACTGTATTGTGATATATTTATGTACTAGGTGTAAAGTTTTGATTATGATATACATGTATTGTGATATATTTATGTACTTGGTGTTAAGTTCTGGTATGTGTATATTTTTAAAAGTGGAAATTTTGTGTAATAAAGATGTTTAAGTTAGTTTCCTATTTATAAAATGTCCACAATGTGAATATTTTTGAAGGTGAAACATGAAAGTTGTCACCTGTTCACAGGTTGACATATCAACTGTTGATATGTTAATTTCAAAAGTCACTGTGATAGTTTTTCTTTAATAAATTATTTACAATTTGTTTCTTTATAATGTTATTGGTGTTTTTTTTATCTTAATGAAAAGAAGATACCAGTGAAAACAATATTTATCAGTTTATGCACATATGCACAATGATAGAATATTCAAAGAAGGTGTGAAAACATTATTTTAAGCCAGGAAAATTGATCATTTTTGTTGCAAACTGTATTCAACTTAGTACATATATCAATTTTTAGTGAGATTATGGCATACCGCAGCATATGTCATCATCCGTCGTCCATCAACTTTTTACATTTTAATCTTCTTCTTCAAAACTACTAGGCCAATTTTGACCAAACTTGACATGGAACATCACTAGGATATGGGGATCTGAATTTATGAAAGTTATGGGGCTATGCCCCCAGGGGCCTGAGGGGCGGGGCCAAATAGGTAAAAAAATGGAGTTATCTTTAAAAATCTTCCTCTCTACTCCTACAAGTAGTAGAGAGTAACGGTACATTTAATTATAATCATCAACTAGCCCTCTTTTCAATTTATGAAATTTATGGCCCTGGGGTCAAGAAGTCAAGAGGTAGGGCGGGTCAATATTGTGTACTTGTTATGTAATTATGTATTTATACACTTAATTTTCTTCTTCAAAACTACTGGTCCAATGTTGACCAAATTCGACTTGGAACATCACTAGGACATGGGGATCTGACTTCATGAAATGTATGGGGCTGCACCCCCAGGGGCCTGAGGGGTGGGGCCAAATAGGTAAAACAAATTGGGGTAATCCTTAAAAATCTTCTTCTCTACTCCTTCAAGTAGCGTAGAGTAAAGGCACATTTAATTTTAATCATCAAATAGCTCTCTTTTGAATTGATGAAATTTTTGGCCAAGGGGTCAATTGGTTGAGTGGAGTCAATGTTGTATTTGATGGATCTTTGTATCTTTGATACCATTGAGATCCCCACCTGATAACCATATATGGCATTGCTGGGCATCAAGAGATAAACACAAGCATGATGTTAAAAAAGGCCCAGAGGTCTTTCCCCGCCCCTAGGGACTTAGTTTCTGGGTTAAATCTTTGAAACAGTTGAGATCCCCACCCTATAACTATATATGAGCCGCCGGCTGGGATTTGGGTCCTTAACTTCTAGCTAATGAAAAGGGAGAAAAACGGGAATTCCGACAGACGTCATATTTCTGTGTAAATTTATTAGTAAATTGTATTTTGGTGTACGCAACTTTAGCCTTTGCCAAGGTAGTTAGAGTTAGCTCCCTTAACTCCCCATGCTAGTTCCGGTCTTTTAACAGCATTAGCAGAGCAAGATGGCAGCAGCCTCACAGTGCTTTATATAAATATAAAATCCAGCGACATCGCGATGAACGCTTACAATCTGAGAGAGCGATCAAGCTCACTAATGACATTCCTCCAAAATTGTGACAGCGAGCTCGAGGAGACCGATGATAATGTATACATCGGAAAGAAAATGCTTCTCAATCTAGTGACGAACATCAGGGTGATGATGGCCGGCATGGTGCCTGTGGAGGCCCACCACCATCAGCGATGAGTGACAAACCAGAAGCCGAGCTCGAAAAGGAACTCGATAGTTTAAAAGCGGAGTCAAGAAAAGTGGCTCTCTGCAAGGAGATCGAAGATTGTCGGCGGAAAATTTATGA